CTCTCTCTGTCTCTCTCTCTCTCTCTCTCTCTCTCTCTCCATAGTCTTGCTATGCAATTCAGGCCCCCCTTGAACTCATGGTGAGTTTCTCCTGCCTTGGTGTTCTCAGGTGCTGGGTTTATAGGAGTGTGCCACTATGCCTGAGCATCAGTGGGGACATCTTTATAGGAAAGGGGAGAGGACCTAGTCTAACCCTGTCCCTCTGGACCCACATTAGCAGGCTATTTGGGGGAAGACTTGGAGTTAACTCCCCGTGGGAGACATTAGAGGGAGTCAGAGAGCACAGAGGTGAGGAAACAGGGGATGTAGTCTCTTCTGCCTACACCACTGCAAGGCGGGATGGGGACTGCTTTGTGCCAGATTCCAAATGTACGTTATTGCCATGAGTACCACATTGGCCCACTGACCCAGCAGGCGGCTTCCTCAGCCCCTGCACTTCAGTGCCCTTTTCCTCCCACAGACCAGGAACTAGAGACACAGAACTGGTGCTGCCGCTGGAATGACAAGCCCTCCTTCTGTGCCCAGTACCGTGAGCAGTGGCCCCGCGTTGGCTGCACTACCTATAGGCCCCCTCGGCCTGGTGAGGACACACGGAGACCCTTGGCCTCTAGATATGCAGCCTGTTGAGACCACAACAGGATCAGAGTCCAGGGGCAGAGCTGTGACCACACAGGAAGCAGGGACAGTTCCAGTATGGGGCTGAGGGCAAGCAGAGGGCTTGGGGAAGACACAAGAATGGGGGTAGGGACCCACAGAAGCAAGGGGTCGGAGAGCCTCAGCCCTAGCCACAGCCTGCTAATGTGTCACCTGTTCTCCCCCAGCATGGACCTTTGGGGACCCCCACATCTTCACCTTGGATGGTGCCAATTTCACCTTCAATGGGCTGGGGGACTTCCTGCTGGTCCGGGCCCAGGACAGCAAATCCTCCTTCCTGCTCCAGGGCCGCACGACCCAGACTGGCTCTGCCAAGGCCACTAACTTCATTGCCTTCGCTGCTCAGTACCAGGCCCATAGCCTGGACCCCATCACAGTGAGCCAGGGGACGCCCAGGAGGTCCCTGTACCCTGTGCTCCCAAGACAGCCTCTCAGTGACCTCCGGCTGGACACTGAGGTCCATGAGGAGGAAAAGGACAAAGAAAGGGAGAGGGAGGGAGCCCACATCCTGCCAGAAGAGCCTCTGGGAGCAAAGCCCAGGCCCTGCTCTGCCTGGTGACCCGGCTCAGGCCTGCTCCCCTTCCCATCCAGGTCCAGTTTCTCCTCAGGCCCAATGACATGGTGGATGTTCTGCACAACAACCGGACTGTGACATTTGAGGCCAGCTGGGAAGATGCCAAAGGTAGGCCGGAGAGAGCCCTCTGCCACCCTGCTTGCCTCCCTGGGGCGGGGCTTGGCGTGGTGCTCAGCTAGCATGTGGAAGTGGCAGCACTGGGCAGAGCACAGTATTGCCTGTCTGTCCCTTCTTAGCCAGTTCTGAGGTGCCCCCTGAGCACAGGCACTAAACACACTCCTTCCGGCCCTCCTTCCTTCCAGTGCTCTGATCTCCCTGCCTCAGTGCCTCAGTGCTCAGGGTGGCCTGAGGCTTCAGCTTGGAGCAGCCACACAAGGCACCCTCAGGACATCCCAGCACCCCTCTCTGTGACATGAGACCCAGGGTGAAGGTGCAGGCTGCTTTTTTCACCTGCCTCCCTGTCACCTAGGCATGGAAACGTTCAATGCCACTGGAGTCCTGCTGACCCGCAATGGCTCCCTGGTCTCAGCCAACTTTGACGGTACCGTGACCATGTCGGTGACTGCAGTCTCCAACATCCTGCATGCCTCAGTCAGCCTCTCAGAGGGGTACCAGAACCGCACTGAGGGCCTCCTGGGTAAGGGCAGGCTCTTGGGCTGCCTCTGTGGGACATCCCTGCCAGTTCTCAGGTTTAGGATGTTTTACCAGCAGGGAAGGACAGGGGTTGCTTCAGCCATCTTCAAGGTCACTTCCTGTCCCCTGCTGCTCTGAGCAGCCTTCAGGATGGCTCTGGGGAAGGAGTGCACAGATGCAGCCATCATCTCCTATACTCCCTTTCTTCTCTTCCTCCCTTCCTAGAGCAGGGAGCCAGAGTCCAGGGAGGGGATGGCTACCTTCCCAAGGTGGCCCACTTTCCTTCTCCATCCCTCAGGACTCTGGAACAACAACCCACAAGATGACTTCAGGATGCCCAATGGCTCCTCTGTTCCCCATAACAGCACAGAGCAGACGCTTTTCCACTATGGGATGACCTGTGAGTACTAGGGGATGGGGAGGGTTGCCCTGAAGCTCCCTCAGGCCTGTAGGTGAGGCCACCCCAAGCCTGTGCCCTCCCCCTCCCCCTGCACATCTGTGCTTGAAAGAGAAGATGGGGACACAGTACATGGGAGGCCCTCAGTCACTGAGCAGGGCTTCCCTGATCAGGAGCTGGAAACCATTCTGTCCCCCACCTCTGTGCTAAAGCCATCCACAGTGAGGCCAAGGGGCCACACCCGGCTGGAGTCCCACAGCCACCATCCCATCTATGTGTTCTAGGGGCCCTCAATGGAACACCACTCTTCGGCATGAGAAGTGACCCGCTGCCTTCCAACTTCACCCCGGTCTTCCTTTCTCAACTGAACATCTCCCTGGCCTCCGAGTGTGAAGGGAACATACAATGCATGTACGACACGATGGCTACCGGAAATGCCAGTGTGGGCCTGCACACCAAGGGGCTCTTCAGAGAGTACCAGCGGATGAATGCCACCCTCAGTATGTGGTGTCCTGAGGGGCTCCCCTCCCACAATGCCTGTTACCTCCACCTTTTATTCCTCTCGCCCATCAAACTCCTGGGCCCCCAACCCATACCTGACCCCAAGCTCACCCAGCAGAGCCTCCCGGCCCCACGCAGCCCTTGGCCTCTTTGCCCAGCACTTCTGCTCTGCTTCCGGCTCCTTGAGTTCTTCACACACGGGCTTCACTGGCAACTCCGAGCCTTGGCACACACGGCTCCCTGCCAGGAAGGTCCCGTCCCTGGCAATCACAGGTGCAGGGCCTTCTCAGCAAGGCCTCATTGGCCGTCCTTACCTGCCCTTAGTGCTCACCCTCCTGTCTTGTTTTTCCTTAGTATTTACAACTGCTAAATGTATTTTGTAATCATCACAGGTATAAGGTATGATCAAAATATCTGGTGCATGTTTTTTAAAAATATATTACAGTAAAAAATGTATTATCATGAATCCCCCTCAGAATCCTTCCCCTGGCTTCAAACACACCCCATAATTCTTGCCCCTTCCTGAAGCAGTTCTGGAACTTCTCTTTCACTCGTGGTTTTTCCAGTGTGATCACAAATGTGGTAACTGCAGACTCATGAAAACATAGCAGTGCCCTCCCCTGCCTCACTGGCTGGGTCCAGCACCCCGCACCCTCCAGCTCCTCTCCAAAGTCAGAATGACCCAAAGGGAAACAGTATGAATCCGTTCAGGATATTGAAGCAGCCACAATAGCACAGCCAATGACACTGATGAAAGGGGACCTCCAGAACTGCTTCCGGAAGCAGCAAGCATGATGATTAGCATGTTTGAAGTGAGGGGGATGGTTTTGAGGGTGACTCATGGCAGTGTATCCTTTACTGTGATTTTTTTTTTTTTTCTTTTTGAGACAGGGTCTTGCTAAGCAGTTCAGGCTGGCCGTGAGTTCTCTTTGCAGCTCAGGCTGGTCTCAAGCTTACAACGATCCTCCTGCCCCAACCTCCTGAGTGCTGGGATTACAGGCATGTGCCACCAGCCCTGGCTTCTTTACTGTGATTTTTATTTTATTTATTTTTTATTTAATTTTTTAAAAATTTTATTTATTTATTTATTTATTTATTTATTTTTTGTGTGTGGCCAGCTCAGCCCACCAGGGGGCGGGGCTGGCTGGCATGTGGTGCTGGGGGATTGAACCACGGTCCCTGTGCTTTGCTTAGCTTAGCTTGTTCTAAGTAGGTGCTTTAGACCACTGAGCCATCTCACCAGCTCTTTACTATGATTTTTAAAATCAAATACCATCTACATTTTTTTTTTTTTTTTTACATCTGGTCTCTTGCTTCATTTCTTGTTTGCTACTGTATCCTAGAATAGGGCCACCCATGTTTTAGGTGTTGGTTAATGAATTACTAAATGAATACATGAAGCAGGGGCAATGCCTGGGGGTGGATCTCAGGCCTGAGAACCCCTCCTACAAGTCAGGGAAAGAGAACAGAGGGCAGGCAAGTGGCAGCCTGCCCCAGATCCTGTCTCCTCTGCTTCAGGTCAGTTCCCGCCCTCCATTAGTGGCTGCCATGTGCTTGAAGCCTACAAGGGCCAGCCCTCCCAGTGTCAGTGCACCAGCTCCTCTGCCGTCACCTTCAGACTCCCAAGGCCCCTCACCTCCTTCCAGCTCTTCGGTAAGAACCTGTGGCTGGGGTGGGAGTGCAGTGCATAGAAAATGGAGTCAGAGTCCAGCTAGGTTGTTTGGTATCTCTTTCACCTGTACAATTTTCCATCCTCTTCTTTTTTTTTTTTTTTTGTCAGAACCAGGGGTTGAACTCAGGCCCTTGCGCTTGCCAGGGAAGCACTTATTCCACTGAGCCATCTCCCCAGCCCTTCCATCCTCTTCTTATTAGACTGTGCAGGCCCAGCAGTTCCTAAGGGAAACAGCAGCAATTCAAATAGATGGCCTCTAGGGGGCAGTAGGGCAGAGCGTCCCACATGTGGCCAGCTCCAAGACCGACTCTGGGCACACATAATTGATCCAAATACCATTTCATCTCCACCCCATAAGATGAAACCGACCACCTTTAATCATTGTTATGCCCTCACAAATGTATTAGAATATTCAAGTGCAACAGTTAAAAAAAAATACTCATTTACAACATTTTCATATCAATTCAAAGTAAGACACTATGTGGGACAAGACTTAAAGAAACACAAAGATCTCACTTGGTTCCCTTTTCGCTCGCTTTGTGGTCAGTCACGTTTGCCTGGCTTGGTCTCTTGCCTGATTTTCTGTGCGAGGAGGGAGCAGAGCTTGCGACTTTCTCTCAGTGAGGGCATTAGGAACTGTGGGGTAGCATGCACGGCCTGGGGCAGAGACACAGAACCCAGGGTGTCCGCTTTTCTTCTGTCCCCTGCTCTTTGCTAAACCAAAACCCTCAGGGATGATCACCTCTGTCTGCCTCGTTACCTTTCCCTGCACCTAGGAGGAGACTGCTTCATCTTGGTCCCTCTTATTCTACGTGGCATCTGCCCTGGCACAAGACAGTAGCATCACAAGGTGCTCCTTTCTAAAGCTTGGTGACTTGGAAGTTACTCCCATCTCTTCCCTACTGTTCGATCCTTCTAACCTGCTCAAAAAAAAAAAAAAAAAAAAAAAAAAAATCCTTCCTTTCTGGAGAATTGTAACCAGGCTGATGAGAAACCCACAGCAGAGTTTCCCTCTAGGTTGGTGCCTGAGGAGCAGCTGGTCCAAAGGCCCAGGAAAATAAAGGGGTGGGATGGTGAGAAATCAGGGCCGGGGGCCGGGACCGCTGTGGGTGAATCCAGTTTGGCTGCAGGGTATGTAGCCCAGGGAACTTTCAGGAGCATCCTGGTCTCCAACCCCAACCTGTCCTCACGACAATCACTTGTCCCCAAGACACTCCATCATGGCCCAGTCCAGCCAGAGGCTCTGAGGCGGAAGTGGGCTTCTTCCCTTTGTGGAGTCCACCTGTGGGCCGTAAGGAGGGCACTTCCTCCCTCCCTTGGACCTGGCCATGGTCACCCCACGATTCTAGCCTTGCTTAAAGGAGACATCTGATGCTCCCTGGAGGTGGTCTGGTAGAGGGGACAGCCCAGCACCAGCCACCAGGTCTAGCTCCAGGCTGCAGCAGCCCACAGAGCAGAGCAATCTCCCACCCCCAACCATCTCCTCTTCCCCACAGAGAATGGGACTTTGCTGTGGACCCCAAAGTCGCCGAAGCCAGTCACCCTGGAGATTCTAGCTCAAGACGCTGAGACTGGCTTGTGGTCTGTCCTCCAGCCCAAGACAGTGGCTTGCTTTTGCAATGAAAGCAGCCAATGTCTGTACAATGAGACCCGTCGGGTGGGCAACTCGTCCCTTGAGGTGAGTCGTGGGAGCTTTCTGTATAGAAGGGAAAGGGCACAGGAAGGTAGACAGTGAGCAGGGGTGCCACAGACTCCAGTGGGTAAAAGCAGAACTTGCTATACACCAGTGGCTCAGCTGACGCTGTGTCCCATGCCTGTCCTCCCAGGCTGGCTGGAGCAATGTCCAGTGGAAGGCACCAAGTGGGGTGGGAAGTCCTCTGCCCACCGGCAGGAATCTGCACTGGCCACTGTCTAGCTCTGCTGTGTCCCCACCTGCTCCACACTGTCCTGTGCTCAGGCCAGGAGGCCATCGTCAATGGCCATCTGTATCCCGTTTAACCAGAGCAGCACACAGACTTCCCCTCAGAGTCTTATCACCATGGTGATGGGAAGAGGGCCGTAGATCCCTCTGCCTTGACACCTCAAGTCCCTTTGTTTCTCTTGTACTCTCTCCCCACAGCTTTTGCTTTTTAACTCCTTTCCATCCAAGTTTAAGCCAAGATGCTTGACCCACAGCCTCAAATCTCCCCTGTTTCCCCATTCTCCCTGTCTGCCTCCTTCCCTGTCTCACTCATCAGGGAAGGAGATGTGTGAGACAGAGGGCCACGCCAGGACCCAGAGACACTGAGCAGGCAGTGGACGGTGTGGTGCTAGGCAGGGACTGCAGGCCCAGCCCTGCCACAGTGTGCAGGAGATGCTGGCAGAACTGAGACAAGGGGAACTCTCCTGTCATCCCTGCACTTGGGAGACTGAGGCAGGAGGACTGCTCTGAGTTCCAGGCCACCCTGGGGTAAAAGGAGTTTGAGGCCAGCCTAGACTATAGAACAAAACTATGTTTCAAACAAAACAAAATGAAAAAGATCTAAGGCAAGAACTCAGAGTCTATGGCTCCCACATCAGGGGAGCTGGTGGAGAGAACAGGAAACTTAGTGTTTGGCTCTTGACCGCCCTGTTGCAGGAGGCCAGCTGCAAGTGCAACCATGACACCTTTGGGCGCCTCTGTGAGCGCTTCAAGGAGCCCTGTGATGAGCAGTGCTTCCCGAATGTGCAGTGCACCCCAGGGAAGGGCTGTGGGGCCTGCCCCCCGCACATGACCGGAGACGGGAAACACTGTACAGGTAAGCCTGGAGCATGCCCTGGCGGGAGGGGTTTGGGGCTGGATGACATCGCAAGGACTGAGGACAGCCACGGGCAAGCACTCGCCTCCTTCTCCCCTCACACTCCCCCCAAGTCTGTGGGATGGTCATCCTAGGAAGCCTGGAGAGGAGGAGGGCTCGGGTGGGCTGGTGCAATCCCAGCACTCAGGAGGCGGAGGCAGGAGGTCGCTATAAGTTTGAGGCCAACGTGGGCTCCAGCCTGAACTGCACAGTGATAGCCTGTCTCAAAAAAACAAAAACAAAAACAAAAACTACTCCATTCCTGCTGAAGTCAAACAATACCTACCTGGCAGAGGAAGATGGGTTACAGAGAAATGGGGAGGAGGATGGTTTGGATTCTGAGTGGCCCACAAGCGGAACACAGATTGAGCAGGCATGGGGAGAAGAAAGCTCGATGTCCTGGCAGCAAGTGCCCTTGGGCACCCTGCTCTGACCTCGCTAGTGGGACTGCTGATCCCTGCCCCCTCCGTAGCCCTCTGTCAGAACCAGTCCTGCCCTGAGGATTACTGCTACAACCACGGCCACTGCTACGTGTCCCAGGCCCAGGGCTGCCAGCCCGCTTGTACCTGTCCTGCGGCCTTCACAGACGCCCGCTGCTTCCTGGCAGGGAACACTTTCATTCCCTCTATTGTCAGAGGTAGGAGCAGATGCCTTGCCATCCCCATGTCCGCTTGGGCATCCTGAAGGAATTGGGAGAATTTGGGGCACAGGGCCAAGCTCCTCAGACCACCAGTTTGTACTCTGTAGTCAGTGGGGGTTGTGAGGGTTCGTGATGGCAGGTGACTGAAACAGTGGCCTCATAGGTCCGGGAGATGGGGGAGTAACAGATGGTGTGCTGGGGTGTGGCCAGATGCCTGGCCACTTCTGATGTCTCTGGTGACCTCTGTCACTGTGGAATGGAGTGGTCTCCACGGGCAGGCCCAAGGGATCTCAGGGCTAGCTTTGGGCGTTGGGGGCTGACGGACCTTCTCCACCTCCAGAGCTTCCCGTGAGGGCCATCCAGCTGCTGCTCCATGAGAAAGATGTGGACACCACCAAGGAAGATGTGGACGCCTCGGTCAGTGCTGGTGGCCACAGGTTTCAGCAGGGTCTGGTGAGGGTGGGGCTGTCACTTCCTCTCCCTCAGCTAAATTTGGGTAGGGGCCTCTTGTGCAGGGAAAATGGGATGGAGAGTCAGGAATCTTCAGGGGAGAGACCCCAGGAAGGGTTAGACTCACCAGTCACTACTAGCAGAACCTAAGGGGCACACCACCATCCCCTAGAGTGCCCCTCAAGACCTGAGCTTTGGGGTGTGACCTGAGACACCCAGGATATTATACCTGCGCTCTGACTTCCTTGGGGAACTGGGGGTCCCTGCTCTTGGCCTCACAGGCACAGCAGCTGAGGCCTTTGTGCATATGGGGCTCAGACCCCTTCCTGCCACCTCCTAGAGCGGCATGATCGTAAGCCGCTCAACAAGTAGCTGGTAAAGTGGTGCACACTGGGCTCCCTGAAGCTTAGGAGGCAAGAATGGAGGTCCCCTAGTTCAAGGCCAACCAGGGCCTGAAGCAAGTCCCTGCCAAAAGTAAAAAATAAGAAGAGCTGGAGTATAGTTCATGTTCCCTGAGTTCAATCCCTAGTGCTCCAAAAAGAAATAGGAAGGAGAAAAGGAAGAGCAAAAAAGAGAAATTAGACAGGTTATGACTCGTGTATGTAGTGTTGATAACAGTATCTTCTTCAAAAGGTTGAGTCAAGGTTTAAATAATAATATGAGTAAATACTTAGCGTGGTGCCTGAAACGCATAAGTTTATTTTAGGTATCAGGAATGAAACTCAGGACCTTGTGCTTTCCAGGGAGGCGCTTGTGCCACTGAGCTATATCCCCAACCCACACAAGTTTACAATGATTCAAAAGTTATGGGCATGGTGGTACATGTGTGTAATCCCAGCACTTGGGAGGCTGGGGCAGGAGGATCTCCGAGTTTGAGGCCAGCCCAGTGAGACCCTGTCTCAGAAAAACAAAATGGAAATTATTAGCGTGACTGTTGCAGCTACCGCTTCACTCCACACACTGAGTGGTGGAATCCGTTGACCTTGGTCTCCTGCGCCTGACTGTGGGCTCCTAAAGCACAGACTGCTCTTGAGTTGCCATGGCGACCCAGCACCTGGCCACCGCTAGGTCCAGCTAAACTGATGTTTCAGACACATGGGGGTGGGGCTGAGTGGGTAAGCAGGATTAGATCCCCCCTTTTTTGGTGGTACTGAGGGTTGAGCCCAGGGTCTTGGCACTGAGCTACATCCTCAGTCCTTTTTATATTCTTAAAAAATTTGAAACAAGGTCTAAGTCACTGTGCGGCCCAGGCTGGGTTTAAACTTGCAGTCCTGCTGCCTCAGAACTCCCCCAGTGCTGGGATCACAGGCCTGACCTTAGATTCTTCCCTTGGAATGTGAGGCAGAAGAGAGGAAGAAAGGAAAGCCCCTTACTTGCCCACAAGTACTGACTGAGCCAGGCCTCAGGCCAGGCACTGGCCTAGCTGGAGTGTGGTGGGGAAATGTTCTGGGGTCTTGGGCGTCTATGAAGGGTGACAGGGATGAGTCCGTGCAGGGCCATGGGTAGGTGTGGCCTCTCTGTCTGGGCCTCACAGCCACTGTGCCCACTCTGCCATCCTACCCCACAGGTGGCCTACAGGCTGGAGCACCTGGACGTGTGGGCCTTTCTCCAGAACAGAGAAGTGAACCGCAGGTGAGTGTGTGCAGCTGTCCCTCTCCAGGCCCCAGGTCTGTCCCACGGCTCCCTGGCCACCTGAGGTGCTCACTGTTCCCTCCCACAGCCCATCTGCCGCAGCTCTGCCCACCCGGCACTGGACGGTGATCTCGGAGTTCAAGTACCGTCCCCAGGGCCCTGTCATCCACTTTCTGAACCATCAGCTCCTCGAGGCAGTGGTCAGTGCCTTCCTCCCCCAGACTCGGGGTGTGAAACAGGGAAGGAGTCGAGAGGCCCGGAAGAACGTGAACTTCCAGCCCATCAGCAGGGAAGATGTGACTGACTACGGGCCTCTGTGTGAGTCATACCATCTTGTAGAGGGACAGTTAGGGGAGGGAGAGGCAGGTGAATGGAGGAAGCCTGTCACTGACCGCTGACCCACACAACCCATGGTGGACAGAGGTGCCCACAGGACCTGCAGCCAAGTAGTCCTTTTGCCCAGGCACTGCTATTGATTTTGTAGTTTTCTTAAAACACCACTGCAGTAGACATACACAATGACATCCGTTCTACCACTGGCCCCCAGCTGCAAGGTGTTCAAGTGGAGATGCCCCATGCAGAAGGGCAAGCACAGCCCCATGCCGGGCCTCCACACCCAGTCTGGACTGACCTGGGCTTCTAAGGCCCCTGTCAGCTGTACCAACCCTTGGTTCCCTTGGGATGGGAAGACAGAGGAAGGAACATCATTTTTAGGAATGGGGCAGAGAATCTGTAGAATGGTGGCCATGACCCAGGCACAGAAACTACTCCTCCACTTGGGCCCAGGGCTGGGCAAGAGCTGATTCTAGAGTGCGGCTTACAGCTCCTTCTACTTGGGGCATCTGTGTGTAGGACAGTCGGGCTGAGGTAAGGGAGCAGCCCGAAGATGTTTGCTCGAGAAAACTCAGTTTTTATTGGATAAGCACAAAAACTTTACAAAACATAGGTTTTAAAAAGAGAGAGAAAGCCATATAATCCCACCCTCAGAGACACTATTTGTACCTAGCCTTCTCAACTTTCTCCTCCTCATCCCTCCCCCCGCTTATTTTTTTCTTGTTTCTCTTCCTCTATGTTTGTTTGTTGAGACAGAGTCTCAAGACATAATTAAGACTGACCTTGAATTTACTAAGTAACCCAAGCTGGCCTCAAACTCAAGGTGACCCTGCTGCCTCAGCCTCCTTAATGCTGACATTATAGGCATGTGCCTCTATGCCCAGTCCTAAACGGTCTTTTCTGCACTGGATATTTTTATTAAAAGATCAAGGCATATATCTAATGTTTGATAGACTCTGCATTAAATAATGGTGGCTACATTATCTCACATATTGTGTACATATTCCCCTTGGTATTGCATTTTATAATGTATTTGAATATAGTGTTTTAGATTTTAAATATGTTGTGATAATAGTCACTCTATACTGAGTGCTTACTGTATCAGTATTGTGTACTCTCCCTAAGGAATCTCATTAAAGCCCTACGTCTACATAAGTACTAATGTTATAATTTAATTTTAAAAATATGGCAATGGAAGCTGAAAAAGTTAAGCATCTTTCCCTAAATTAAAAAAAACTAGTCAGAAGCAGAATTCAAAATTTCTTTCAGGTCTGGCCAACTTCAAAGCTTCTGCTCTTCACTAATACATTTTCCATACTGGGCAACTGTCATTTTTCTACCACTACATAGTAACTTATTCATCAAGATCCCCGCCTGTTAAACACTGCTGGTATCATCAACCACACCCATAAGATTCCCCACTGGAAAATGTGTCTATGCTCCCTCACTCTTCCAGTTATTTCTCAGGATAGCTCCCTGGCAGGGAATTCTAGATTGAAAAGTTACAAACTGTCAAGCACCTGCTTTCCGTGTGACTCTTTCCCCAGTGAACATGGGCAACCTGAGCTTGTATTTCAAATGCAATGGTTACAAGGGCTACCGCCTAACTTACAACCCCGAGGATGGTGTCACCTGCGTGTCCCCCTGCAAAGAAGGCTACTGTCAAAATGGAGGCCAGTGCCAGCACCTGCCTGATGGACCGCGCTGCAGGTGGGAGGTGGCTTCCTCTGCGTGAGAGATTAGGGAACAGGGGAGAGGGCACAGGGGAGGGGCGCAGGTGGAGAATAAAGATGCTGTCATAAGGAGCCTCGGGTGGGTGTGATGACCACCCTACAGGCGCGAAAGCTGCAGCTGAGGGAGGACAGGGCATCCAGGATGTTACCAGCCCAGGGCCTGCCCAGGACACCCAGGAAGTTACCAGCAGAGAACGCTGCTGTCCTCTTGGGGAAAGGCACTCACAGGGGAGGCCACTTCAACTAGCCCTTTAAGCCCCCTCCAGACATCAACAGCCTGGCTTCCAGGAGACCTCTGCTCACCTCAATTCCTCAGTCCACACTTAGCCCACTGCAGTCCTAGATGGGCTCAAAGGAGAGGACAGGCTGAGTTGAGGCCAGCTGGGGGGGCTTGTGACTGTTGGGGGCGGGGCTTGTGGCTTGCTCTTGTGCACTTGCCCCCACCCACCCCGGGGGGCTGGGCAAAGTTTGTAACAACATGTGTGAGCTTCTGGCATTTGACTCCTATGCATTACTGTTCCAGAGGGCGGGTTTTGTTGACTGCACAAGCGCACTTCTGTCCCAAGGCAGCAGGGAGGGGAACGTGTGTGGGGAGGGGGTGTGTGTTTGTGACTGCACATGCACACTTGTGTCTGGGAAGGGCAGCAAACTGTATAATTCACACCCAGGTATTGTAAGGCCCACTTAGTCCTCCTTTGCCTGGGGTCTTAATCCAGCTAGGCAGGAGAGAGGCTGAGCCCTTTCTGGCCACTGACTGCCCCTCTTTGTCTCCAGCTGCCTGTCCTCCTACATCTACACATCGTGGGGTGAGCGCTGTGAGCAGCTGAGCTTGAAACTCAACGCGTTCTTTGGGATCCTTTTTGGGTCCCTGTGTGCCCTCTTGCTGCTGGGGGTCATTGTCTGGGTGGCCCTGCGCCTATGGGGGCCATCCAGGCCCAGGTTCTCCTACCCTCTTCCCTCAGAGAACTGAGCCCTCGCCCAGGTGGCAGCTGTGCCGAGGAGGCCTGGTAGGCCCTGACTTTCCTGCACACTCGAGCACCATTGCTTCGGGGACACTGGATTGGGAGGGAATGAAGGTGACCCAGGGCTCTGCAGGGAGAAGGGATGACAGAGGACTTCTGACTGGTGTCCTACAGTGTTAGAGCCAAGCACATAGCAAGAGCCATGAAGGCTCAACCCACCAATGAGTGGGTTCTCACCCAGCGCACGCCTGTGCGGGAACACGTGCATGCCAGCTACATAAACACACAAGAGAGTTGTTCTAGTTTAACCAAAATGCATTCACACATAAAACTCTGGTTCACTTCTGATTAAAGTTTTTTTAAATAAAGTGCCTCTAAAAAAATAAATAACACAAAGTGTCTCTGACTTTTTGTCTCCAAACTATGGATTCCATCCCAAGTTTTCTTCTGGTGGCTGAAGAGCTAGGCACACGAGAAGGCACGGGGTGTGGAGGTCAAGTGTTCTACAGGTGACAGAGGCATGGGAGCTGATTGGGCCCTGCCCTACTTCACCTCCTCATTACTTCCTGCGGGGACTCCTTAGTTGCCACAGTCCTGAGGTGGGTCCTTGCATCTGCCTCTAAACCTTTCTCCACCCCAAATGCAGACTGTGATATTTGGGTGTGGTTTGTCTCCCAAATTTCCTGTGTTAGCAACTCCTCAGCATGGCCATACTGAAGTGGTAGAATGCTTAAGAGGTTGGGCTTCCTACAAGATAAGCAGGTTGTGGGGTATCCCCCTCAGGAGAGATTAGTGTGTTCCCCAAAGGATCCCCCAGTTAGTTATCTGGATAGAGTGTTTTTATACAATAAGGGAAACCCCATGCCCTTGGCCCCCTCTGAGTGTCGCTTGTTCCCTTGTTTCACTGCCAAGTTGTAACCCAGCCAAGCAAGCCCTCACCAGGGCAAACAGACAAGGCTGTTCAGTGTTGGGCTTCCAGCCTCTACAACTGCGAGTCAGCCCTGCTGGGGGCATTTTGTTATAGAAACAGAAAATGGTGGGAGAGGTGGTGTATTTGTTGCTTTTCCATCACTGGGACAAAATACTTGACACCCACAAATTAAAGGAGGAGGAGTTTGCTTGGCTCCTGGATTCAGAGGATTCAGTCCATGGTAGTGTGGCTATAAAGCAGAAACAGCACAGTGGAAGGGCCTGGCAGAGGACTCCTGTCCGACCCATGCATCCAGGAAGCAGAGAGAGGAGGGAGACACCAGGCCAAGAACACTTCACTTTGTGTCATGCCCATGGACCCGTCCCCAGTCAGGCCCCACCTCCTAACAGCACATCTGGCCCAGAACTCACCCATGAGTAAACTCGCTGATGCTTACATGACCCCATGACCCAGTCACTTTCCAAATCGCCAGCTCTGAAAACAGGAGATTTCTGTGGGGCATTTTAGATCTGAGCCCTAGTGGGTGGTCTTAGAAGTAGGGTTTAGTAAACAAAGACACAGGCTGCTCACTTTGAATTTCAGATAAATCATTAATATAGGTAACTTTTTCATATAAGGGTGTCGCACAAAATATTTTGGATTTGTGATTTTTGTGTGTGTGTTTTGGTTTGTTTGTTTGCTTTTAAGGCAGGATCTCACTCTGCAGTGCAAGTTGACTTTGAACTCACAGCAATCTCCCTGCCCCAGCCTCCGAGTACTGAGATTACAGGCATGTACCACCATGCCCAGTAACTCACAAAATATTTAGGACATCTTTATATTTCTAAGAAACTATTCATTGTTCATCTGAAATCCTAAAGTAACAAGTATTTTATCTGGTAACCATGTCCAATAACTGAGGCTATGTACTTACAGGAGAAGGTGGGGACATGGCAAAGAGAAGGTGTCTGGGTCGCCTCCCACTGGGCATGGCACCTGATGTCTTCATGAAGGGCACCATTAGATCAAGGATTCAACTACAAAATTTCATCAGCTGACTCCTGGCTCTATGGCTTGGATTCTGGCATTTTGGCACCTGGAATAAAGAACTGGGTGGCCTTCTCTGGGGTGCGTGTGTTTGCTTGGCATGTGCCAAGAGAGAAGAGTGCACATACCTCCTCCCCTGGCAGCTGGTGGCAGGCTGCTGAGCTGCCCTCAGAAAGGCAATGTTAGCCAGATAAAGAGACCTCTTCCCTATTCTTCCCTGTTGTCAAAAGAGCCTTTCAGAAACTCCTCTGGGCCCAAAGTAAGGAGCTTAAAGACCAAGATGACAAATAATAAATAATTAAGCTGTGTGCCACTTTAAGCATGTATTCATAACAAAAAGTAGTGTGAGGGCATTCACTGAACTGTTGGCCACACTGTGGAATTAGTTATCCTTCACTACTTGGCATAGATTGGTGGTCAGAGGCCCCCACACAGGAAGAAGGAAGGAGTAACCGTGGCAGAAGCTCTGTGCGAAGCGTCTGCCTGGAAAGCTTCGGCTTTGCATTTCCCGCTTCCGGCTGCAGGTTTTCCGCCTCCTCAGAGTTCACACGGAGTCCAAGTCACTTTGCACAGGTTGCCTTATTGAGGTCCACACCGACCTTTGTCTTCACGGAAGATGCAGCATTTTAACCTCACATTCACACAACTTTAGAATTTTATTTATTTTTATTTATTTATTTTTTTTTTCTGGTTGTATGTGTAGCTTTATATTTGTCACTTTTTAAAGACACAAGGCAATTATTATTTATTTTGGACATCACATATACTTACAATTCCTCTCTCCACCAGATAAACATTTATGCCTGGAGACATAACCACTGTGTCAGTCTTCCCACTTGGATTCATACATCCAAAGAAAACTAATTCTTTATTGTTTAAATTTGACTTGTGACAAATTTTCCATCATCGCCAACGCTTAAAATACAATGTCGAATCATTGCTAAATATCTTTAAATATCAATCTCATGTAAGAGCAGTTGGTTTTATAACACTTTAATACACCTGAGTATCTGTTAAAAATAGCTTTAAGTCAGATTGCTTTTCTTATCTGAAGCCATGTGGGAAGCTTAAAGACAGTGGGTCAGTGTCTGTTTCTCCCTATAATGGAGACTTTGTGATTTGCCTCTGAATCATCCACATATCAAAAAGCCAGAGCCCTTCTTGTCGCTGAACTGTTCAGCTGCTTAAGGCATTGAAATGAAGCTACTCTGTCTGCTGCAGCTATTGATCCAAGCAAGGCTCTCAGCTTCTAATCTTTAACTAAACAGTTTATTAGCCATGCTATTTACATCTTACAGTTTCGACACTTCAGGATGCTGATATTTGAAATGAGCAACATAATACTATTAACCTTGTGTTTCTGGAAGAATCACATACATAATACAACCCTTACAAACCTATAACTATTGGCATTATTAATGGTATTGCTACCACATACGTAATCCTGTGCCGAGACCAAAGAATTTTCTTCTTATTACTGCTACATTGATAGATTATAAAATGTAATTTAAGCAAAAATCAGATTTGTAGTTTGCATCTAACACTAAAATAGTAAAGTACCAATTTCTATGTGCTTTCAGTTTTTCACAATATCTCATTTCTTTTTTATCCTTTAGGTATGAGATAATGAAGATGTCAGAACTAAGGTCATCGCATGAGCTCTCACTTTGATATTTAATGAATAATAAATGACTGTAGAATAATTGTTTCCGTGTTAAGAACCCAGGAACTTTTCCTTTGGCCTCTCAGCCTTCAGGTGATTGCTAATTCCTATTTCTCCCCCAGTCACACCATGGACTGCAACACTTCCTCTTCTCCAGCACTTGAACAAGAAGCAGTAAGGACCAAAACTTGGTGGAAATTTTAAATTCTGTCTAGATCTAGTTTAGAACTTTCACTTCTTTTCTGCCTTTTAAACCAATACTTCAAAGATCTTCACAGCATTCATACTCTTCCAAGATGTAAAGAGTCAGAGTCTGTAGAGCTGTTTAAAAATAGCCTGGTCAAAAAGAAAAACAATATTTAAATATTGTAGGTATGTGAATTCAGCAAAATAATCCAATATAGTCCAGTAGTCCATAATAGTAGTGGGTTATCCGCAGGACTGGCAATGTCAGAAGTTGTTGACTTGAGCCTTTTACAACTCAGCATATTAATATGGCTTTATTTTTTGTACCTCATTTTTATACTTTTCTGCTGGATGGTTAA